AATTCCATATAAATATCTCAATTTGCATATAAAAAGTATTTGCATTTATTTACAAAGAATTCTGAGTTAGTCTGACAATAATAGTATTCTCGCGACTTTAATTAATTAGCTAGAATGTCCGTAAGATAAGTGCGTCTAAGCCGGTGATGCAATGGGTAATAACGTGAGCAATTATTTTAATGACGTTTTCAACGTGTGGAGAAAGATGGTATAAGTATTTCCCAACTACAGAGAAAAAAACTTAAACAATATCCCATGTTTTTTAATATGATATGCATATGATTGCAATAAAAGAAAAAATTGCACACATGTCATTTTACAGACATTAAAATTAATTTTTTGAAGATGCATTTAGATGCATTGTTGACTAAAACGTTATGTGATTAGAGAATAATATGGAAATTCTCAGTAATTATGTTAAAGAAGTCGCGCGTGTAAATTAACGAGTTAAGAAGCATCTATTATTAAAAGATTTATGACTGAATATGAGTAAATCCCTAGCTTGTTTGAATTATCTTCTTGCGAAAAATAAAAATATTGAAATATATAAGAAATATTAATAAATAATTACATATATAAGACACATTAATAAATAATAATTGTATAATAATTTTGAGCTACATTAAAATTTAATTATTCCAAATGATAGTATTAAATAACATTTAATGGATGAAATGTCTCTTTTATCAATACCGATATACTTCTATTGTATAGATATCTTATTATACATATATTTTATATTACGCAATAGCTATTTCTAGAGATATTGCTCAATACAGGATTTACATAAAGAGATATCATTAACATGATAATCTATTGACAAGATAATACTTAAATGTATACATAGGCATGCATATTCTATATCTGTATTTGTATATAGAATCCTCATTCCAATTATATTCTGAAATAGACTTCAAGAATAAATTATTTCAAATAAAATCCGCATTAAGCTTTTTAATTTTCATTTGAATTTCTGTACGATAGAATTCACGAATGCGACCAAACATTTAATTTTTTTTATCATATTTGTTTCAGAATAATAAAATTTAAAATTCAAAATATATTTCAAATACTATAAGAAAACGTTAATTTAAGCGATGGATGAAAACATATATATATGTAAATGAGGATTTTTTTTTTCTTTCTAAAATAAGCAAGTTCAAGGAATCGATACTCCGCCATAAAATCTTCAGCATCCGCCGCAAATGCATCGGACGGAGACGTAAACTGCGACGGTAGAAATCAGGTGGAAAATTCTCTGGCTGCGAATCTGCACGCCAATAAAATAAATATTTATCTCGGCTTCAGCGCTCACAGAGAGGACTAGTCGTTCGGTATCGACATAAATCAGCAAAACACGGGGACAGCCCCTCGAAGCCCCTGCATAATTCCGAGGTCTGCTTAATATTCAAACACACGCTCTCGCTGCACCGCGGCCGCGCCGAGCGCTTTCAATTTGCAGAAACGCAAACTGTATCGTAGAATCTCGTGAATAGTTCCGAAGGAACCCGCCGATAATTCCATGGACAACCGGTTTTTCAATCCATTAAACGCCTCGTCTACGCACACCACATTTTTATTGCATCGCGCACTTTGCACTGAAAAGTCGTTGTCGTTGTCAATGAACGAACGGGACTTCTGTTTTCGTGCGTCAAACGAATATATTTACTGGCGAATTATTATCATAATTCACCATTTTATTGTCAAACGTGTGACTAGAGATTACATGGAGTGAAGATAATTGACATATACTACACTTGAGAGCCAATTCACTGCTAAAAATTATTCATTGCGCAATTTTCAACGAGTGTTTTTGAAAGAATAAATTGCGAATACGCGCATACCATGATTTTTTCTCCCTCTCCTTTAGAATAAGATATTTTAATTATGTTACATAATTATTATTGTCATCTCTTATTACACAATCATGAATCTTTGATAATGAATTTGAAATCATAAACAGCGGAAATAATAAAAAGGACTGTTCAAATAATTAATCGTTTAATTAATTTTCTTAAAGTTCTTTTCTCTAAAAAGCGAGCATTATAAATTTTTATATAAATTTTTAAATCTTATATATTAATTATCTTTAAAGAAATAATTGTCACTGATAAACATATTATGAAATGATCTACAATTCTCATGTCGTATAATTTTGATTTCTGTTTTGTAATAAATCATACAAAAAATATTTTTAATTTGTGTAACCATCATTTCGATATGTTTACAATTCGTTAGTTGCAAAGGATGGATTTTTCCGCAACGTTGAAAATACCGAACTATCATTTCTATCTATTTCTATTTTTTTATTTATATCTTTTTTTGTATATGATAAAATTTTGAAATTTTCTAATTTTTTGTCAATTATTACTATCTTTATTTTAATAAAATATTAAAATTAGAAAAATTCGGTGTGTGATATTAGAAAAAAATGTAAAAAAAATTGAACCGATCATACAAAAAAATGTCTATTTATTTGTACTTTAGTGTTAAATGCAAAGTCTGATAATCGATAAATATCCACTCATCGTACCTTAATAAATAGGAACAATATGATACGTTCGGATGTGTCACATCGCTATCCTGTTGGCTCGAGTTACATTGCACAAATGATAACAAAATTACAGCGAATGAAAACAAATAGCGTGCCATATATGCAAAAAAATGAATGCCAAACGACATGTTTCTTTATTTTCGTTTTATGAAATTGTTTATTCTATAAAATATTTAATCTATTAAAGTGAATCAGATTAAAAACAAAGTCTAAACGATCATTTAAGATGAATGACTACAACGATGTTTTCTTTTTGCTGACAACAAATAAAATATATTCACTCATGTAAATTCGAACTTGTTTGTTGCGATACTGTTCATATTCATCGAAGCAAGTTTTTTCATATTTCTTGCTTGATCTAGAATCGATTGTAAAAAGTTATGATTTTAATAATAAATTAATTTAATAATAAATTAAAATAATAAATTTAATAATTAATTAATTATTACTTTTAATAATAAATTAATAAATTAAAGAATTAAATTAAATGATTGATATAAACATAATGATGTAATTTAATCGTGTTTTTTTTATTAAAATTACACAATTTTATTTCTCTTGGAATATAAAAATATTTAAAAAAGGAAATAATAATTTAATTTTATGGTTGAAAGGAAAATAAACTTTTTTTGCTATAGATTTAACAGAATTAATAATTTTAATGATTTATTAGAATTTTTATTAAATTACAAGTATTACAAGTATCACAAGTTACTATATAATTGCATGTCAGTTATAATTTGTTATTAATCAACTTATTAATATCAGCAAATGTTTGTGGATATGAGCTGTATGGGGCACATAAGAAACTCTATATATATATAAAAGATAATATTAGCTGAGCAGTAAAGTTCAATATTACTCGAACTGAGAAAATCAATAACAGATGTGACAGTAAATCTGCATGTACATTGTGATAAATTCCCTTATGGATATCACTGATAATTCAAAAATATTATGAGATAAAATTAATATTAATATTAATTTTCTCAATGTTTCATATTAAATTTTTCGATCCTATTTAATTTTCTGAGCATAATATTAAAACATTATAGTTATAATATATATTTGAAGTAGAAAATGATCATTGTACCTTTAAAAGGAAAAATAAACATTGATATAAAGTTACAGGATTAAACTTCGTCATTTCAGGTACTTTGTTGCTACTCTTCGACAATGCGATCGCAGAAGTTACGGAAGCATCCGTTGTATCGGAAAATTCGGAGTCTCAAAAAGCATCGACTCTCCAAGGATCCGCGATTCTAACAAGAACCTCTTCAATCCATCAAAATCGGTCATTCGCAGAAAAGGATGGGAAAAATATCGAACTGACAAATCAGAAGACTCATGACAGGGAAGATAGATCACACGATAGTATCACCGACAGCGCAAGTCGAGTCGGAGAAAAAGACGACGTACCAACTCACGTGGAAAAATCGGACGATGAATCCGAAAGTTTATCGTCGGATGGAAACAGGAAGTCGCGGCATGGAGAAATTGCTGCTGAAAGCTCTGGGAAAAGCACCAGCACAAAAGTTGTCTCCGAAGATCTTCTCAGACACTCCAGGAAGAACGAGTTGACTATAGCGACCGCGAAACCAGCTTTCAATGATTCGAAGCAAGATGATAAGAACTTAGAAAGTGCCAGGGTTCAGGAATCTTCTAACCGTGAGGAAATATCCAATATGACCAAAACTATGCCCCCAAAGGAAAATAATGTTAACGAAAAGTTAATCGCGAATGTTATGGAAAGCTCGGAGTCTAAAGACGTGGAGAAGGAGTCTTCCGTTAAAGAAGAAAAGAAAGACGCAACTGCGAACAAACAAGTGATATCGATCGTTAAGTCTGTTGAAGATTTTTCCCCGACATCCGAGGACGCTATTAAATTTGAAGAAAAGAAAGAAAAAATTATAAAGCTCGATAAGGAAGCTCTTTTGAAGATCGAGCCGAACAAAGATAAAAATACAATTTTGACTGACTTTAAAGAGGAGATAAAGGCTCGTACAGTGGAGCCTCATGATCGAGAACCAATTACAATGCGCGGTGAAAATTTCCCAGGATATAAAAAAAATGCCAACGATTTAGGAACGACGGCATCAGAAGCGCTCGATTTAGAGAACATCGATGAGAAAGGATACGAAGGAACCATTTCGTTAATTAATGACACGTATGTGAACTACAATCGTTTTTATAAGACTACGACGGAGAAAGATTTCAAAGCCAGTCCGGGGGATCATTCGACTGGCATGAATGAACCACATGGGGATCCAAAAGAAGAAGTAGAGATCGTTAAGAACGTGACTCACTTACCGATATTGAAAATGGTGACTATTACAAACGATACCGCAAAGAACGATTCTCACATCAATGAACTGAGCAATCAGGATGAAACTGTTTATGATAAGAAGAAAGAAGCAGTTGACGCAAAAGATGAAAATTTTCGCGAGAAAAGCGTAGACTCCTCAATTTCTAACACAACTAAGAGTACAGATAATATAGAAGAATGGAAATCGGTAGGGGAACCTGAGAGCCAGGTGAAGTTGCCCGAAGTAACAACTCAAACCGTACGATTTGAAGAGCTTAACTCATCTATTCCTAGTCCAGTTCCACAAGGTAGAACTATCGGATTTTCCGGAGTTAACAAGTTTCCGAATATTGAAATGAAATCTACACCGTCTACAGGAACTGATGGAGAATTACTGGTCACTCAGAGCTTGCGAAATAGCACGGAAAAGATGGATCAAAGACCTTATCCATATCTAAAATCTAGGGAGCCATTCCAAGTAACAACGGTAGCTAGCTTGAAATTAAAAACGAAGACGGTGATGTTACTTCCGCTTACGAGAATACAATTGGACGAGGAGAATCCGAAAAGAAGCTCGTTATCACTGAACCTTCCGTCGTGATCGAGAATAGCATTCAACAGCATAAGTCGAGCAAGAAAAATGTAAACGAGTCTACGAATTCGACGACGAAAAACCTTCCTTTTTTGCCAGTGACAACGATTCCGGTAGTCTCGACCGGTGTAGTAACAACGAACGAAACATTTCCGGAAGGATTTATTAATGACAGCGCGAAGGCCACGGAAATGAAACGCTCGAAATCGAACGAGAATGACACGCCAGGTGCGAAAGAGAAGGAGAAAGTGATTGTAAGTAGAGACGAAGGCTACGACGTGACTGGAAATGGAATAACGGAAGTGAGCCTGACTCCGGATGGCAAGGAAGTGAAATCACATTCCGTCGAAGCGATGGAATCGTCAACGTCGCGTTCCGTGGAAACGAATACACCTAAGACGGTATCTCTGAATACGGATGTTCAAATGGAACCGGAAGAAGCTATGATGATTCGTTCAACTTTTGCCGTTACCGAGTCCACGAGCATGATTCCTTTAGGCAAGAACGCGACGACAGAAGCGAACAGATCCAGAACTTCGACGACATCGGTAGCAGACGCCTACACAATCGCCCCGATGATTCTCGAGAATTCCACAGAATCGGCATCGAAAATGAACGTCACTCTGCAGCCTGCTTTGAGTGTTAATCAAACCACTGAATCTCTCTCTGCCACTTTAAATCCCGACGAATCCTCGATCCCAACAACTACGTCTATCGAATTCGAGTTCGTCAGTCTCACGGAGGCAACGTCTTCGGGAAATAACGCGACCGAGAGGAACACTGAAGGACGAACCTTCGAAGAACAAACGATGTCTTCGAGAATCACGACAATTCAAGAGACATCCGCAACGAACAATTCAACGGAGGACGCGATCACCACGACGAAGTCGCAGGAATCGACTGAACTTCCGGTGACAACCGAAAACGGAACTCCAACGACGAAAGTATCGGATGTGTACCATGCGGATAACGAAACAACTACAAGTCCATCAGTTATCCAGACTACTTCTGAGAGCCAAAATAATCACACGGAGTTTACGAGGAACGAAGTTACTATAAGCGTTATCGATTCCACCAGTGCCGCAGGAGTCTCCGGCATCACCGAAGATCCTTCAGAGTCTAAGGATTCAAGTTTTGATACGAACATTACCGAAACGTCTGCCCCAGGCGCAACAGAACTTCCGCCGAGTACGGGTGTCAGGACAACGCAGCCTACAACGAACGTAACAAAAGGCCCTTCGGCTACAAGTACTTTAGAGCCGAGAGTACTCTGGAGTACGGCGGGTTTTACGGAATCATCCGAGGAAGAGATAACGGAAAGTATCCAGACCTTGTCACCGGAGGAGGTCACTTTGTTAGTTAAAATAGTCATCGAGGGCACTTTACACGAGGTCTGTTCTCGATTGCAAGACTTGAGGAAAGCGCTTGCGGATGTCCTCAGGGATGGACTGGACAAGTGAGTAATTTGCAAAATTCTTCATCATTTTAAGTGACATTTTTGTCAAAGCTAGAATTGCTAGAAAAGCTAGCGAATATATCAAATATCATATATATATATATATATTTAAAATTAATTTTACTATTCATTATATTATTTATGGAAATTTATATTATATAAGAATTTTTTATATAGTTAAATATTTAAATATTTCGGGTTAACAATT